AGCTTTTTAGAAAGGCACCCTAATAACCAACTGTCAATTTGTGCTATAACTCATTCCATTTCTTTTAAACCACACACCAAAGCACACTCCTAGCACGAGATCTATTTCTGAATTTCGTTGGTTCGTGATATACAGCTCCAGAAAATCGATTTTTTTCCTTGCTTCTAAATAAAACGTCGTGACTGGTGACTGGGCGGTGTTACATGTACACTTAGGTTTGAATCCGCATTCTTTGTAACCGCTTGAGGGACAGAGCGTCTGAGGTACATGTAGACGGTACGATTATACACGGGGAGATTATATTGTGACTACATGAAATAACGAACACAAGGTGTATCACTGCAACATTAAAAGACAATATATCAGTTTCTTGTACCATAACACAAGTATCTGGGTTTTGTGCTCTTTCATGTAGCGGCCTTTTCAATGCCAACGTATTTACAGAAGAGAGATATCGAGATACTTTTTCTTACATTTAAAACTATAATTAATCTAATATCCAACTCCTATTTCCTCGTGGGGTGCAACTCCTGAGATGCTTTGCTATCACAATAAAACATGTGGACGATTTATTTCGTCGCACCTTTAAACTTGTTTTGACTATAATATATACGTGACCACTAATACCACAAATTAAAAAAAAACGTGTTGGAGAGGCCATCAAGTGTTACTTTTAGCTAAATATTACGCGGCAGTGTGTATGACATAAACAAGTACAATGCAACAGTACACCACCAGAAAAGAAAATGCTACGCACTTGTATGCTATGTGTATGCTACACGTCGTTCCACTCACATAACCTTGTGCATTGCACATCTTAAAGGGATAATAACTCTTCGTATGAGATCTGTATTTCGCGATAAAAACATTGTAAACAACTCATAGAAATATAGTATATTCTGTTTTACCACGAAAACGGCAGTTATAGCTATTATTCTGATATCTGAGCTTGTCATCGGACCACCCGACCCCCACAGATGGCTATACTCTGTTATAATCTCTTATGATTTGTGGTATTATCTCTTAAGAGATTACTACAAAAAATCAATTTTTTAGAAAAAAAAAAAACAGGGACTAACTTTGAATGTAGAAATGGATTCATTTACTATCGGTAAGTATGGGAAAATTGTTGTTTACTCCAAAACGAACAGTTATTATCCCTTTAATCAAATTTATCTGTCACTTGATATATGTGTCACTCATTCACCATCATTTATTTATCTATTTCAGAGTCAGGTGAAAAAAACACCAGACACTTGACACCAGACAACCATACGACACTTGGAGAGTATACTACCTAGTACGTACTTGTTTTTGTCTGAAATCAAAAATCTTAACTAAAAATTAGCAAACTGCCTCAAATTTTTCCCATTTCATAATCCAAAGAAATTTCATATTTGCTTCGTTCACAAAATGTGCATTTTTCACATGACACTGTGAGACATAAATTTCTACTATTATTTATTATGAGTGCTCCAGCACAACGTACAGTGGAAAAAGTGTAAGTACCAGTGAATGCATGTAGGAGTTCTAAAGGCTGATAGTTTCTTACCAGTACATGTAAAGTTTTCTTTAATTTGCTTTAAAGCCATGCCTACACCGTTAAATATTATCCTACAGAATTTCAGGCCCGTAGCTGGGGGGGGGGGGGTAGGATGGTTCGAAAGAACCCCCCTTTTTGCCAGGAAAAGGTCCCCTCTGGTTAAAAAAAGTCATCTAGAGACATGAAGGTTTCATGGTAAGAGGTAAACTTTTTCAGAAAAAGAACCACCCCTTTGAAATTGCTGGCTACAGGCCTGGATTTGCTGTGCTTTTTGCATTCGATAACGATTGCATGTGTTCAGTGGGTCCTAGGTAACATCTGAGACCAAATACTAAGGTATGCCTGAGAGCTCTGAGGCCGCGACACTACCAAAGGTAAAAGAACAGACGGAGGTACAACCAAGAAAACCCGAGCTTCTAGTATCAAAAAGTGGGGAAAGTCTATATTGCAAATGGACATTACATAGACTTCAAACAATTGCCAGGATATTGTTGCGAGCATATCCACAATGAAAACCTGACTGGGGAGTCACATTTTGGGGGAATCAGATTTTCATGGTACACTGGAATTAAGTCTGGTTAAAAGCCTAATGTCATAATGTGGTTAAAGAACAACTTGTGAACCATATATGGTGAAGTATGGCAAAAATTTGCTTTTTGTAACTAAACAAAGAACAAAAGATATAACAAAACTCATTAGTATAAGTGCAAAAATCACATGAGCTTGGTTAAAATAATACAAGTGGATGGTTAAAAAGACATTTATTCACCTTTCAAAATTAATAAATGTGATAATTTTGGTAAGGTTGTTAGTTTAGTATGTTTCCTTGTATTCTTGTTAATTTATAAGTTAAATCAAAGGAATAGGTATTAAAAACACCACAATCTTGTTGTCACTTTGTTTTTATTGGTCATATAACCCGCACGAAAATGCAGTAGTATCGAAGTGGCAAAAAAGCATTAACGTAGTAGTGGTGTGGAGCATATTTGCAGTAGAAATGCAGCATAGCCTACTGCAATTCTACTCCAAAAAGTACATAGGTTTGTACAGAGAGGAGCAGTAATGCAGTAGATTAGCAGCATGATAGAAGCATGTTTCAAATATGCTAATTAGCTCCCAAATCGAAGCAGATTTAAAGCATGTTTGCAGTATGATTGCTGTAGTCTACTGTGGTTTGCAGTATGATTGCAGTAGTCTACTGCGCTGGAGTATCTACTGCGTTTTCTTGGGGGAAGCTAGGGCATTCTACATACGAAATGAAATGAAAATTCGAAATGAGAGAGGAGAGGGCAAAGAATGACCGATTAACCCGTTACTTTTGATATTCTGGAGACAAAATTACTTAATTCACTATAAACTGTATAATGTCATACTGTGAATAACACGACGCCCCTTGAATATTATTATATCTGTATTATTACTTATAAAAATTAAACATCTGCTGGTGCACAAACTACTGTTAAAGTCGGGGAACATCTCACATATTATTACGTTAATGTTCATACAGGTAACTAAAAACAATGAATATACAAATAAATCCCAATACAGACTTCGAAATGCAGATATATCTGAAATATAAAGCTGAATAATCTTGAAACTACATCATCGCAATTTTTTCTTTCAGATAGACGTAAAACATATTGAAAGTTTTTTTTTTTTTTTTTTTTTTTCTAAAGAACAATATCACTATTTTCAGGTCGGTCACACTTTTAGAACTCAGTGTTCATTTAGACAGCATCAGTGAATTATAAGCTCGCAGTTCAGAGTGTATATGTCCTCACTGTTTGCATTCACGCCAACAGTCCTCCAAAGTTTTAAAGTTATTGATATTTCCTCCACATCCCGAGTAGATAAACGCATCACACTGCCTGGACTTGCTGTTGAAGTAGTACCGAACCGCATAATCTACACACCACCCTTGTTTTTTTGGATGCTCACAAAGTGCTAAAATTTTAAAAATGGGTAACTAAAAGCAGGGCCGTAGCCTCCGGGGGGGGGCAGGGGGGGGCAGCTGCCCCCCCTGGGATTTGGGAATTTTNAATTTTACACACCACACCCACCCCCCTCGGTAGCTACGCCCCTTTGTGTCCGCTTACTGCCCCCCCTGGCATTTTGCTCAGGCTACGGCCCTGAAAATCGTGTTTTATAGCTATATAAAACAATGAAATAAAATCTGACTTGGCAGTCGCATTTTTAATAAAAACCAATAATAATTTTGTCCGGAGTGCCATCTGCTGGGGCTTCGCAAGTAAGCAGGGTATCTCTTATCCTTGTTCAATCTTTTTTGGCTATTTATCACATAAAAACTCTACCTAATTAGACTGTGACGTTCTGTTACATGCCCGAGCACATTATATGCAAGTACTAGTTAAAGAATATATCACCATAATATCACGCACTGTGAACTTTAATTGTGATTGTGATAAAGTCTACATGTACAATGAATACAAAAGTAGTATGACCAGCACTTCTGACACTCCCATAAAATAACTTTACTTTGTTGGCCCATGAAGCAGAAATAAGTTTTAAATTATGTCTGATAAGTTGTTCTGAATTTAAATAAATGACGGAAGATGTGCTATCTCGAAAAAAAGAAAGAATAACTTACGAATATGGCGTGGATGGCGCTGAGCACAATTGACTTTGCCCTGAACGCACGTTTCTCCTTTAGGACACTTCATCGTCTAAAAGCAAATCATTAAACACCACTGAAAACCAGTTTTCTACCAAAGTATTCATAAACAGAAACGGAAATTTAGCAAACATTTTGACAATTAGTTTATTCTGTACATTCGTATTTGTATGAATAGCGTCACCTACCGAACAGTCAAGCTTTTCAGCTGCAAGGCAGCGTGCACCAAGGGATGTCTCTACGCACTTAGAACCGACAGGACATGTTTCAACCTACAGTCAATTTAAATATTTAACTGATTTATAAACCAATATATTTATTTAAACAATACATATTTTAATATTATCAAAAATAAATTCATTTTGAGGAAAATATATAGATATTGAATCTTATAAAAATTTGCACAAGCAAACAAGCAGCTGATCTGATAATTGAATGATTATTTGAAAAGAAGAATGCATAGGAGTTTATATTCTAGCATTTTTCATTGTCTCTAAACTAAAAATTACATATATTTCCTAAATGAAAAATGTGCAGTTATAATTAAAGAAAACACAAATCTTTTCACCTGACATGTTGAAACACATCTTGGATAAGGAAAGGTGACACATTTCTGGCCAGCAAAGCAGGTTACAGCAGCCTGGGTATAGAAATACAGATGCTTATATGTTCGATGCACATTTTATAGCCAATACATACAAATGCCAGCATAATCAAGTTTTCAAAGTTTTCTACTTATTTCATGTATTTTATTTCGTATAAAAAACTCCAAGTCCAGTGTGACAGGAATGGTAGACGACTAGGAATCATAATTCGGTCTCCATTACTTTGTCCAGGTGACATTTATCTTATATGTAGCCCCAATACTACGGCTACACGTAACCATAATCATATGAGATCCTGGACTTCCATTCCTAGGACTACTACCATTCCTGTCACCGATCTCTGCAACAATCTGGTTCTCATTTCGAAGACATTGGCGTGGTCTCAAGAATAGTGTGGTACACTTCCACAATAAAAAGAGTTGAGATTTGGCCTAGATTATACCAGATTATACCAGAGGTAAAACTAATGATGTATTATAAACAATACCATCAACATTTAAGGTAATTATCCCAACAATGACTAAAAAAGCAAATAATTCGGAAACTCGTCAGGAACGTGTAACAGACTTTTTGGACAACAGCGTTTGTAGAAACAAAAAGAGACCAAGATATTGACAGCTACTGCACTGAAAGATAATGTGCACTAGACCATGTGGACACACTGAACCGGTTCGCCTTTTGCCATAATTGCTCTATGTCAAGTTGATTTGGAAATCAAACCATTCACACCAAATATACATGTACCATACAGTATAAGGTCAAATGCCTCAGCTATGGTACTACACAGCCAAGCGTACGACTAGCTCATGGACACAAGAAGATTCACAAAAACAAAAAAAATACCAAAACAAGCACTTGTTAATACTTACACAACCAGCAGGCAGTACCTGTAAAGAGAAACAAGAACAACATAACGATAACAATTGGCGATAAATTCAGCTGACGTGTTTCGAACTGTGTGTTGTAATCGACGTTCGGTTTTAAACCTTTTTTTACCCCACCGCCTTTAAGAACAATGCAAAAATCGAAATATGAAAAACCCAAGCTACCTCTTTGCTCTGCATTTTATAGTAAAATACCCTTCGTCCACTTTTTTATATTAAACAGTGTAAAATTGCATACCCCATTTCCCTCAAGTCCTGAAGATTTCTAGATATAAGGACACCAGGATCAAATCAAAACACCGGATAGATTTTTATTTTTTATGTTCTTTCAGTATTCATTTTTGCTCGATTTATATCTAAATTCATGATAAACTTCTCTTTCCTTTAAAGGTTAATATGGTCGCTTACTGCTGCGAGCAATCCACCAATTTTATCGCGTTTTAGAAAGTCTCCATTATTGCTGAGTTTAAATTTCTCCTATAACCCGTTTTTTTAAACCACACACCAAAACACACACCTAGCACGAGATCTATTTTTGGCTTTAGTTTGGTTCGTGTTATACAGCTTCGAACACTCGATTAGTGTTTTTTCTTCTAAATAAAACGTCGCTACTGGGCAGTGTCACATGTACACGAAGGTTGATCTTTGATCTTTCACTACTTCTTTTTGGGATGCCCCAAGGCAGTGTCCTTGGGCCATTTTTGTTTTGCATTTATACCCTGCCACTTGGTGCTGTCTTACGTCATCACAAACTTGGATACCCCATGTACGCTGATGATACTCGGATCTATAGGCCTACTTGCTGTGACATACAATATCCTAAACCCTCTTTGGATACATTTACCAACTGTATGGCTGATATTTGCGCCTGGCTCATCAACAACAAATTGAAACTAGAAAAGCATTCAGAAAGCGCAGACCTCCGCCAAGGTAGCAAAGTATCCATCCAATGCCGTTTCATCCCTATGATTTTCGATATTTATGATTATTGATTATTGATTGATAATTAATCGGGATCACCACCAAAATCTAATCATCTGTTCCTTGGCCCACTTCGGACAGTTCCTGAAAATTTCATCAAAATCGGTCCATAACTTTGTTTTTTAGATTATTGATTGATTATTGATCAGGAGCACCACCAAAAACTAATCATCTCTTCCTTGGCCCACTTCTGACAGTTTCTGAAAACTTCATCAAAATCGGTTCACAACTTTTTGAGTTATGTTGATGACAGACAGACAGAAAGACAAACAGAAACAGGGGTGAAAACATAACCTCCTTGGCGGAGGTAAAAAACTGCAGCTAATTCAGAATATTTCGACCGTCTTTAATCCACACAGCCAGGGAGACTCATATCACACCCATTTTAAAGCAGTTGCATTGGATCCCTGTTAGAGCATGCATTTTATTAATTTTTTTTAAACTTTTATGCATGCAATTTTCTACCAATACGCACACCCGTACCTACAAAAACTAGTTCATCATTATGCAACAAAATGTAGTTTAAGATCGCTTGACCAATTTGAGCTCATGCAATTTGATGCCAGAACTGGAAATCAGTTAGAGACCTTTCATTTACCCAATCACTCTTTTAAGCAGCAATTACATCAAAATCGTGAAGCTGCACAATTTATCTCAACACTAGAATTAAAGTGTACAAGTGCGCGCGAGAGAGAGTCATACCTTTCCCTGCGCCGTGCAAATAATCAGCAAAACAAAACCAAGTATTACGGTTGCTATCATCTTGAATTTCCCCTTTATAAGTGTACGTAGACAATATTCTTCTGCTTTTTGTGCTGATAACACTTTTGGCTTTATTTATATAAAACGCCCCATGGCTTATTCACATGACAGGCTAAGGACCGGATCGGTTGCATCGTCAGGTGATCTTCTTTTTTTACTTGTTACAGAGCTAGAGTGCAATTCCTCTTTTGTTATCATAATAAAACGCGGGCAATTGATTTCGTCGCACCTTAAAACTTGTTTTGACTATTTACGTAACAACTAATATCACAAAAAAAAACATGAAACGATATTTAAATTGTGCTGACAATGATAGATCAAACCTGTAAAACCTGTTCCCGAAAAAAGTATACTGCTTAAACAAGTTTGACTTGAGGAAGCATGCGACAAATACATAGTCAGAAGTAGAACCAGGGAGAGGCAGGTGTCTCGATTTTTCTCTAAGCCCCAAGAAACCCTTTTATACCCCACCGCCTTTAAAAACAGTGCAAAAATCGAAATATGAAAAATATCAAGCTACCTCTTTGCTCTGCATTTTATATTAAAATACCCTTCGTCCACTTTTTTTATATCAAACAGTGTAAAATCGCATACCCCATTTTCCCTCAAGTCCTGAAGATTTCTAGGTATAAGGACACCGGGATCGAATCAAAACACCGGATAGATTTTCATTTTTTATGTTCTTTCAATATTCATTTTTGCTCGATTGATATCTAAATTTATGATAAACTTCTCTTTCCTTTAAAGGTTAATATGGTCTCTTACTGCTGCGAGCAATCCACCAATTTTATCGCGTTTTAGAAAGTCTCCATTATTGCTGAGTTTAAATTTCTCTTATAACCCGTTTTTTTAAACTTCACACCAAAACACACACCTAGAACGAGATCTGTTATTGGATTTAGTTTGGTTCGTGCTATACAGCCTCGAAAACTCGATTAGTGTTTTTTCTTCTAAATGAAACGTTGCGACTGGGCAGTGTCATATGTACGCGAAGGTTGATTTTGATCTTTCACTACTTGTTTTTGGGATGCCCCAAGGCAGTGTCCTTGGGCCATTTTTGTTTTGCATTTATACCCTGCCACTTGGTGCTGTCTTACGTCATCACAAACTTGGATACCCCATGTACGCTGNTAAACACACCTATGTTTTTGTGACCAGACTAGTGTGGGACATGTACTTAGTCCATCTTAATTAGAGGAATGTGTACTTGATTGTGGGGTTGTTTCTCTCATGTGGAACACCATTGACAAAAACAAATTACTTGCTTAATGGAAGAAAATGTGTCAGAAAGTACTTGTTTTTTAACCTTCTTGTTTATAAATTTTTACATTAGAGTTATGATGTAACTGACTCCTCGGCCACATTATAGTAAGACCTGGTCTCAGATGTCCTAACAATCTTTTCATTGGGGCAAGGGCAGATATTTTCAGAACAAAGTGGACAAAAACTTCATATTTTGTTAATATCGGGTGAAAAAATTTATTAATGAGCCCTTTTCTCATTCCACTGAACATGTGTTGTCCAGATTATTTTCATTTGGGCTAGTTAAAATCTCCTGGTCAATGGAAAAATGTACCCTCCAGCTGCCATTTGGGGTGTCAACATGACTTAGAATGACACAGGCACACGCTCACTGCTTGCTTACATGTTACTGGGGTGTAAGCTCTGTTGGTATTTGAAATTGTTCAAATTATTCAGATTTCAGCCCTCTAGATATGACAACCAGCACCAAAGCATAGATCCTGAATATATATATTGTTACACCACTACCTCAAATTATGAATCTTCATTTTTGGGGCTCTGCATTTTATCTCACATTACATCCAGGCAATGGTGAAGTTGTTTTTACACATTTTGCATGTAGATCCAGACGCTGATATCTGCTTATTCAGGGGATAATAAAGTCATAGAAGAATCTGACAAATTTGGCTCTGAGGGCACATCAAATAGGGTCTCCTGTTACATGATGGGAAGTGGAGATATGGGGCACTCTTACTGAAGGCTTGTTCATAAAATTAATTTGGCAGACAAACAACATTAGCAATGGGTCCCTTTATTTGTCATGTTCATGATGCTGTCACAGCCAGGCATGAGGCTGTCAATTATCTCGCTGTGAGCTTTATCCAACGAGACCTCGCTACTGCCCCCTGGAGGCATGTATCTCTTATGTCAAGTGTGCTGCGGTAATTTTCTTTCCTCTAGATGTTATGCGGCTCTACCTTTAATCTTAGGTGACCTTTTTTCTGCTTGACTTGCTACATGGTGTTCCCATAACAAACATGACAGAAAGGAGCGGAAATCATAAAAAGAGATGGGATTTCTTTCTCCTATTGTTATCTGCCCGTTCCTGGTTAGGGTAAATAATACCCCAGGGGGCTTAGGGGGACTGACCCCCATTCATGCAAAACATGATATGTGACAAAAGAGACATAATATCAGTGAATTTTCAGAAGAGTGTGCAAAAAAAAGATGGAGCTGAAGTAGAATGATGTGTTTACCTTGACAGGTGTAATATCAGATAAGTACTTTGTGGTTACTGTACTGGTTATATAGACCCAGGAACCTTGTTGGCCTTTGAGTATATTATTCTGAGTCAAAGGTCCTGCAGAAACTATTCCCTAATGTTCACTAGTACAACATTCTCTGAATGCATTGTCATGTATGCTTTAAAATAGAAATATCTTGAGAATGTTAATGATACATGTGTGCATGTTTTTTTATTTTTTGTGTGTCTGTGTGAAAAAAAGCAATTCTATCAAAGTATTTTTTGGTAGTGAATGAAAAGTCTTGTTAAACCTACATCTTTAACTTAAATATGTAGACATTAAACTGTATTTTTAGTGTTAACAGCAAAATGTGTCTGTGAACCACACAGAAATGGATAAAAATATTCATATAAGATTTGATAAGATTTTTTAAAATTCCATTACCTCAAAAAGTAATGGGGTATAAATCTAAAGTTGGTTGTGTATGTAGCAACAAATATAATTGACAGCCTTCCAGCTGTTTTTGTACTCCTCATAGGTGGTAGAGGGTGACCTGTCACTTTCAATTATCACCCTTGTCTAACTGTCTGCAGCAACCCTGGTAGACCAGATGCTCTGGGAGGGTCATAGCACATGGGCTGCATTCAAAGTTTCATTAAATGACAGCTGTGGTATTGGCCTTACTTCTTTCTTTTATTATAATTTTATTATATTTGGAGGGGGCATTATGAAAGGTTCCTCTAGCATAAAACCATTTGCTTAAAATACAGTGTAAAATTGTTTTGTTAATCAAATTATTTATATGGCCTTTTAATTTCTTTTAAATATCAACCAAATCTCTAGCATAATTTTATGAAACATGTGGCTAGTTTACCTCTTGACTTTCCTGGTGTAAAGGTAACAGTATAAAATCTCATTGACGTCCCATTTAGGGCCAACAGCACTTAGATAGTACAATGTCATCTGTTTGTCTGTTGATCTCCTGGTTGAGTCCCACTGCCCATCCCTGCTATATTCTCTTATCTCTCCTGAGATAACTGACCAGTGGATAATAACATCAATTGACCAGTGATGCAACTAAGTCAATTGATTATTCACTGGTAATCTATGGAAATATTGTGACTACTTCTGGCTGGTATATTATTCAATTGGCAAAAATAATGAAATTTAATCAGTGAAGTGATGATTCAAAGACAATTGATCAATCATCAAGAACATAGAATATATTATCTTTTTGACAACCCCCTTCTGGTAGTCAAAACTTACAAATGTTATTGAATCAGCACTAATAACACACATTAATTGCTCGATTGGCCTGCTGCACTTTAAATAAACTCACTGTTCAGTTGCCAGTGTTTGAGGAATGAGATGGTGGCATTTGTTTTGCATAGGTTTTTGGTTACAAAAATATGATGCTTGAACAGTTAGACTTTTATGGGTGAAGTACATCTTGGGAAAATCTTAAACAATGTGTATTCTTGGTGGTTCTATAGCAAACTGATCCATTCAAATTTACTTAGAATGTAATGATGTGTACAGAATTTTTGTTTTCAAATCTGTCATGTTATACAAGGTGTCTTTAAGAGGGAGGTTTTACCTCACAAGCCATACCTGTGAAGCAGTATTTTAGCTATTGGTAGAGTATTTCTATTAATGGTCCAAATAGGGGAAAGATAAAATGTATTGAAGTGCACTCAGAAATGCCACTTTAGGTGTCACAATGTACTGATGATAGTTCACAGGGAACCTTTGTTGTTTCATGTGGGAAAGTTATGCCATAATTGCAATTAAAAACTCATTTTCCATCAAGTGAGATTGGGGATGCTGTGAAATCTCACTCAGCTTCTGAAAGTTTTCTTTTTTTCCTATTGTCGAGTGGTGACAGATGTTGTCAAAACAAGTTCTGCCAGAAGTAATTTAGATTGGATAGCCCAGTTCAGGTGGACCAACAGCATTGAAAAGTTAAAAATAACATATGTTGAACATTTTACACTGGTCAGAATGGCAATGCACTTTTTTCTTTAAAAAGGAAACATCCAGAAATCCCTCACTTTTAGGCCCCAATCCCATAGTGACCATCAGTCTGTGGAACGATGGATCCATGTGGAGGACTTGCCGGCTGCAGTCAGCTTAACTGAATGACAAGCCTCCTCATGGCTATAAGTAGAATACAGAAGTGCTGGTGGCTATATGAATATGTTGGAAACAAGAGGAGGTGTACCATTCGGTTTAGCTGATTGAACTTCATGAGAATCCCCACAGAGTTGGATTGATCCACGTAGACTGATATTGTCAATGGGTATGGGGTCTTAGGGTGCCTTCCCAGAGATTTAGATCGATCTAAAGATTAAGATTTAGATCGACCTAACTCCCTGGGGGTTCACGCTAAATTGCAGTCAGCCAAGCGGGCACCATAGTTAATTACCCCCTTACAGCTTTAAGTAGGCGGGACAGACGCTTAAGCTGGTCAAGCTGACAGTAATCTAGTGAGACTCCCCACCGGGATAGATCGATCTAAAAATCTATGGAAATGGGGTGTTAATCTGTGTTCTTCCAATCTCCCAAGAATCAAGAATTTAATGTTTTAAAACTTACAGAAAAAATGAATATTGAATTCATGGTATGTGAATCTGTCCTCCCATCACATTTGCCATTTCCTTGTTAGTATGTTTTCATGGGTTCACAACATGGTTCAAAATGTCAGAAGAAAAGTATAACAGACATTCCNTCTAGTTATTATTATTATGCTTGAAGCGCAATGAGAATATCAACTGTATGTTGCGTTGCATTTCATAAAGAATGCTTTCACTTTCACAACAGTAGTACCCACTGACAATTTGTTGACTATACTTTATTTGCTATCTTTGCACTCTATCTGTACCTATACATGCATTTGGGAGTGAATCATATAAGACTTGGAGCATACTTAGATCGATCCATCTGGATTGACCTAACTCCCTGGGGGTTTGCGCTAAATTGCTATCAGCTCAAGAGGCTTAAATGTCTGTCACGCCTACCGAATCAGCTGGGGTAAAGATAATTACCCCCTAACAGCTTTACTAGGCGTGACAGACATTTAAGCTGGTTACGTCAATAGCAATTTAGTGAGACTCCCCAGGGAGATAGATCGGTCCAAATATCTGTGGGAATGACCCCTTAATGTTGCAAAAGAAGTAAAAACAAATTGACTTAAACTGCATTTATGTGAAACCAGATTACATGTCTACATTTCTTCTTTGGGTTAGAAAAGCAAGGGCTTGTTAAACATGTAACACTACCTTGCATACCAAAAACTGTTTATTTGGGTGTTTTATGCTGTGCACTGGGGTGGTTCATGTCAAAACACACAGAAAAACAGTAATCTGACAACCATGAAATATCCAGGCCTAATGGTATTGTTCTTTCTTTTCAGCATTAAAATGTGAAGCTGATGCTTCTGCACAGAGGAATGGTCATTTGAATACAATTGCACAATTTACATTTTTTCTTTGCAGTTAGTCATTTCAAAGCAGTTTTATTGCATATATTTTGGGAGTTTTTCCAAATGTATTCAGATATATTGTTTCCAAATTATATAGCCTTACATCATTTTTTGCCACGAAAATATGTGTACCTGTATTTTACAATATTTTAAACTAATTCTCGTTCTTTTTATGTAAGGACATTTTTTTCCTGTGGTTTAATATTTTTTTCTTTTATATCTTTCAGATGAAGGAAAGTTCCCTGTGATTTTCAACTTGGCTACGGAAGCAGATATTACCAGTAATGCCACATGTGGGGAAACGGGCCCAGAGACCTACTGCAAGCTGGTGGAACATGTCAAGCAGCTTATGATGAAGAATTACCAATGTGGGATATGCGATGCTAATGGTGATTTGCCATACCAGCGTCATCCTATTCAGAATGCCATTGATGGGTCAAATCGGTGGTGGCAGAGTCCAAGTTTAGCCAATGGATGGCAGTATGATTGGGTGACCATTACACTGGACCTTGGCCAGGTGAATGACAATACTATTTCTCATTTTTTCCCTAAACCTCATTTTTTCCCTATACCTTATTTTTTCTTATATGCACAAAAACTCAGGCATTATACAAATGCAGTAATGATACAAATTATTTCCTGTAAATGATATGTACACTATTTTCAATGATTGTTCATTTTTTAGTTACAATTTGCACTGGAAGTGATTTGACATTGTCCAGAATATGTTAACCATTGTGCTGCTGCCAGCTACATGTCAACTGACCATGAATTAAGGGTGGCTAGTTTAGAATGACCACTGACCATTGTCTTCTCCCCTTTCCCATCATTAGTGATAAACGTGACCAGACAACCATAAAACATAAACTTTTAAGTACCCAAGGCTGGACTCCAGTTACCTGGTCTTATCAGCACACCTACAGAGAAAGACCCTATCACTACTGAATATTTGGAATAGTTTCTCTTGATTGATTTTTAATGAAGGAGAAACAAATTTTGTGATTTTAGAGGTATACATGCCCCCTTGGCAAGATGCAGACGTTCAATTTTTTCTGTTATAAGCATTTGTTTAAGGATTGTCCTCAAACAGTGATGGCAGTTTGATTTCTTACAATTGATTAAGGGAGGTTTTGAAAATGTAAATTAGTGGGTGAATGCAGATATGTTTGTGTATATAAATACATTTCCATATCATGAGTATGTGTTCTTCTGTTTGTGCATGGTTTGTGTTTTGCTTGTGTTTGTATGCCTTGTGTGTAAAGCAGATATGATATTTTATTGTGTCTGTGTTTACTATCTGTGCACAGTAAATCATGAATGAGCTTCCACCTGCTTAAAATGATAACCTTGTGAAATGATTAACTCTTCCTAGGGTCAGGGTTTTGTATGAAGGTGGCCTTGTTTGGGTCAGCAGGAAAATGTACCCACAGGGCTTAACTTTCTCCTCTTTTTGTGGCAGTGCTTCAATCTGTATATAACTACAGCCTTTGTAATATAATCTGGAGTCAGTTTGATTTTAGATCTTGTGGCTTGGGTCACTGATTGTTGTTAGTGACAGCAGTGTGGGTCAGTTGACAGCAAAGAGAAAGGTGGGTGGTCGGTCTCCCTGATCCTGATTGAGCATCATAAAATTGACCATGAAATTCCTGCAGGTGCAGCTTGGTTTTGGTCATATTTGGTGAGGCCCTTTCTGTTCCAGTTTTTTTTACATTCAACTTTGTTGTAACCTTAGCTTAGTCAGCACTTTAGCTAGGATGTCTCATTGGGACCATTCAGAATGGATGATCCGAGTACTTACTGATCCCCCACTAAATATTGCTGACCATAGTTCATAAGCAATGCCGCTGATTCCTGACAGTCTCCCCTACTCCACCAGTCCTTTAAAAGGATTAAATCTCTGTTCTGAGGTTTAATTGCTACATGTAGGTCCCTGCAGTGATGGCGCATGTGGAGGCAGGGAGACCATCGGGAATCGGCGGCATCGCTTTTGAACTGTGGTGGGCCATATTTAGTTGGCTGATCAGTAAGTACTCGGATCATCCATTCTGAATGGGGCCATTGGCAATAGTCCACTGCTTTGCCACTTGCTGTAGACCATGCAGCAGGTACACTTCTTTATTCAGGTTTACTTTTCCGAAGGTTCAGTATTCTTCTGAAATGCATGTTGAAAGAAGCGCAGAAGCTATGTACAATTATATACCAATTACGCAACGTATGCAATTTGTGAAGCATAGCTATTGTTTCAATATACCTTTTCAGAATAGCAAACCTTTGGAATAACAGACCTTCACCATAGCAAACCCCAGATTTCACAGGTCCTAAAAGAACATTTTTTGCCTTTTTTGTACTAGCAGACCTTAGTATTAGCTGCTAACCTTCATAACATAGAGCTGACCCCCATACAGCTTGTCCACATGAATACAATAAATAATTTGATGGCAGAATGACCCCCCAAAAATCCATCAGTTTCGCCCCCTATTTCCTAATCAGTAGGCCAAGCTGATCAGTACTGTGGTGACAGACACTTCTACTGCAACTACATGTACATAAACTACATTAATATATACAACTACATTAATGTAGACAACTACATGTACACTCATACTACTGTCTAAGTGTATGCCACTGGTATGTCTGGTTGGTTACAAGATAAATAGATTGCTGCACACATCACACTTTAAGTCTGACTTTGATAGTAGCCTTTTGAACTCATGTGTTGACTGAAAGATAAGTTAATGATAGTACATGTACTGTTCAGACTGTTAATATGTAATAGATGAACTCTTAAGGCAAGCAAGGGTAGGGTTTGGAGACCTTAATTTTTTTTTTTTTTTAGTTTTTGTTTTGGTGTACATATTATCTCCAGCATCATGGCAATGACTTCAGGTATATATTGAGGAAATAAGGGAGTTTGGAGACCCTGATTATTATTTATCTTTGTGAACTACTAAAAAGATGTGAGAAAGAGAAGATGCTTACTTGCAATAGTGTACTTTCTGTTAAGTTGTGTACATGTCATACATGTATGAGCAATCAAGTTTGAGAGATATTAGCAAAATGGTAGTGGGGGGGGGGGGGGGGGGGGGGCAC